ATATATATATATATATATATATATACTTTTGTTTTGTTTTTCTTGTAATGCTTGCTTATTGAGAAAAAAAAAGAGATAAATATCCATTATGTTAGAGTGCTTGAGAGCTTGGAGTAATGGTATACACCTACATTTCCAGCATTAGAAAGAGTGATGTAAGAGAACCTAAAAACAGTCTGCATATATGTAGTTGCACCCCTGTCTTTCAATGCCTGTGGAGGTCAAAAGAGTGTGTCAGATCCCCTGGAACTGATGTTAGGGATGAGTTTTAGTTGCCTTGTGTGTACTGGAAACTAAACTCGGGTCCTCTGTAAGAGCAACCGGTGCTCTTAAAAGCTGAGCCATTTTCTAGCTCCCAGAAACTAATTCTTTAGGAAATATATGAAGTGTCTAGATTTGACTATAGAAAAATTGCATGTATTTGTATATTCCTTTTTCACTTTTCTGCTTATATTTTCTGACAGCTTAAACACTGAGTCAGCTTCTTAAGAAAAGGGAGAAACAACCACACCCCACCTGAGGGTATTAAAGATACAGAAACACTGTTGATTGTGCATTAACTAGAGAAGTTAGAAGCCAAAGGCTGTTTTGAATTTTCTAGCTGCCTGTGTGAAATGACCATATGTGAATACATTTCATAATGGAAATAGGGCCTAAGAAGTGTTGCCGTCTTTCCATTTGGAACATAAAGCATGGTACCAAGACACCAGGGAGAGAAATAACTATCAAGGAGTCTTCCTTTAGTTAAAAGGTTTGATGAGTTTCTCCAATGTAATACTTTGTCAATTAGTAATTAATCTTTCCAAATTATGATTTTCCTGACTTGTGTCCTCATATCCTGTGGATGCCCTTGATAGATGATTAATTCACAAGTGCAATGCTTTCGTAATTGGGCATTTCCCCTCCTAAAACTCAGAGTCTATAGTGATGGCCCAGCAGTTGCAAGCACAAGATACTCTTACAGAGGACATGGAGACTAACAACCATTGGTAACTCCAGGTCCAGAAGGTCTGATGTCCTTTTCTAGCTTCCATGGGCATTGCACATGGCTGCATTTGCATACATGCAAGCCAAATATTCACATACTTAAAAACAACTAAAATAAATAATTTATAATGTTCAGAAATATAAAGACAGTGAAATCCCAGCTCTCAGAACCAAAAAGGATGATCTCACAAAACACTGCATCTACCAGCAGCTGTTTTCCAGATTTCAAACCTTCGGATATTTTGGATATTTTGTTACCTAGTATAAACTGACCAGCGTATCCTACTTTCTATGACTATCTCTAAATAACAGAATCAATAATATACCAGTAAGCATTATTTAAAACATACTTAAACATAAATAGTTGCTGTATTGCCAATAGCTTAAATTATGCAAATTTCTGTACAATAAAACCGTCCCTTTCTCCCCTATCATATAAAGATTATTTACAGCTTCATATCAGGTCCCATTTTTAGGTGTAGTGAGTGTGAATGAAAAATACTTCTGGAAAATAGAGATCCTTAATATCATAATCTGACATGAAAATTACATTTTGTGCAATTATTTTAGGCCATTTATCGCTGAAATAAAAGCTAGGGAAATATATTGTGAATACTACATCAAAGATTAGGTCTCTCCTTGACATATATATATAAGAATATTTTTTTTTTCTGTTAGATGAATGGTTTTAAACATTATGAAATCCCTCATGTTTTATCACATGGCCTAATCTCTTTAGGATTGTTATTCTGTCAATAAAGTGATTCAAGATAAATTTTTCAAAATGGAATTAGTATTACAAAGGAATTATTAATGTTCAAATTTTGAAACTATTTGAGCTCAATTAATTTCAGGTTAGGCTGGAAATAGAGGACAAAGATAGTATTTCATAGTAAGATTATGTACATACAAATTATGTTTTAGAGTGTGAAATTTTTTGCAGTTTTTATGCTGACATATATCAGTGGGGTCATCAAGAGCTAAACTCAAGCTTTGCATAAGATGTTCATGTATTCACTAGGGAAAACACAGGAGCAGAAATACAACTAATTAAACTTAACACCAAAGCCTAAGGGAAACAGCTTCAGAGATTTAAATCCCAAATTTTAACTGCTGTAAGAAAACACCAGCTCCCTTGCCTTATGGCTACCATTGAAGTGTCCACTACAGGTATGTGCCTAAGTTTCCATATTCATATATATTAGGTTAAAATATTTACCTTCTTGAGAAAATGAGAAATACAAGAGTTATGCTTAATTACTCTCTCTCTCTCTCTCTCTCAGTTTAGATTAACACATTCTGAAAGCCTTATGATTCAAATGGCAGTTTCTTATCACAACTACAAGACTCTGATCAAAATCATTAGCATTTTCCAAGTACTGTTTCACTCAATTTACTTTATGTTGGTTCATAAGCAAGCTTATGAAGGGCTGCACATGAGTCAAAGTAGATGTTTCCCTGTTGTTCTTTGTCAATGGTTTCATTTTTAAATTAATAATGCAGTACCACATTACAAACAACAATATGTGACAACTCAATTTCATCTCAACTTTGTTTGAGCCATTGACCATAATCATTTAGGGCAAAATTTTAAAAAATGAAAATAGGATTCCACATATATGTATCCAATTTTCCACTTTTCATGTTTCAATTAAGAATCATACATAAATGCAAACATATCACATATTAAAGGAATAACCCATGCATGAAGAAAAGACACCTGTGTATCTCTGAATGATCCATTTTCCTTCATTCTGATTTGAATTTTGAAACAGCATTTTTTAATTTAAGAATCAGATACAAGGCTGAGAGGTATTAAATTACAGATGTTCCTACTTTTATTTTAACACATCTCTTTGAATGATCAGTTGATTAATCTTTTGGCCCTATATCACGCTTTCAAGCAGACAATGATTATTGAGAAAAAAATTACAATACATTCATTGATGGAAAATATTACTGATTTAATTTCTTGTCACATGCTAAAGTCTACATAGTTCAAGAACACTGGAATGATTGTAAAATGCACGTACCAGTGAGAGCAATGTTCATTGCTTTTAGGAAAACACGTTGTCTTTTAAATCAGTCATGGCTTTCTACAATAAGAATATATATATATATTTTCTTTAGATGAATGGTTTTAAACATCATGAAATCCCTCATCTTTTATCACATGGCCTAATCTCTTTAGGATTGTTATTCTGTCTGTATAATTTTGAAGATTTAATAAGATTTGAGTAAATAAAAATAAATTACCAAAAGTAAGGGAAGGAAATTGGGTGTGGTGGTACAAGACTACAACCCCAACATTTGGCAGTCAGAGACAATCATGAGACTATCCCAGTCTACATAGAAAGATCCAGACTAGCTGAGGCTACAGGGAGACAACCTCAAAAAATCAACAACAAAATAGGAAAGATGGTTAAAGAAACTGAAAATTAAAGAAGTCAAAGTTTTCATGAACAATATCTGGGCATCACAGGATAACTTGTTATCTCAGTACTGTTTATTACGATCAGTATGATAAATGCCTACTTACAGAATAGAACATGACTGTATTTTTTTCTGAGGAAATTTTAAAAAAGCACATAGTAAATTGTTTTCTTCTTTTACAGATAATTAGGTATGTATTCATTACATTTTAAACGTTTCTTTTAAAGTTTACACAAGAAGAAAGTAAAATGGACAGAGGAAATTGCTCCTCTGTGAATGAATTCATTTTCTTGGGAATTACTAACAATTCTGACACAAAAGTGGCCCTGTTCACCATGTTCCTAATTGTTTATCTTGGTGCTCTTCTGGCAAACCTCGGAATGATTATTTTAATCAGAGTAGACGTTCAGCTTCAGACTCCCATGTACTTTTTCCTCAGCAACCTTTCCTTTTGTGACCTCTGCTACTCCACAGCAATTGGACCCAAGATGCTGATAGATCTCTTAAGTGAGAACAGTTCCATCCCCAGAGTTGGCTGTGCTCTGCAGTTCTTGGTCTTCTGTGTTTTTGCAGATTCTGAGTGTCTTCTGCTGGCAGTGATGGCCTTTGATCGCTATCAGGCCATCAGCAACCCCTTGCTCTACACCGTGAACATGTCCAGCAGGCTGTGCTCCCTGCTCATGGCTGGGGTTTACATGGTGGCAACAGCAGATGGTTTAATACACACGTCCTTGGCATTCCGCTTATGTTTCTGTGGTTCTAACGAGATCAATCATTTCTTCTGTGATTTGCCTCCACTCTACCTTCTATCCTGCTCTGACATACAAGTCAATGAACTGGCTTTATTTACTGTTTTCGGTTTTATTGAACTGAGCACCATCACAGGAGTCCTTGTTTCCTATTGTTACATCATCTCTTCAGTCTTGAAGATCCGCTCTGCTGAGGGGAGGTTCAAAGCTTTCTCCACCTGCACCTCCCACTTGACTGCGGTTGCGATTTTCCAGGGAACTGTGCTCTTCATGTATTTCCGTCCAAGTTCTTCATACTCTCTAGATCAAGACAAAATGAGCTCACTGTTTTACACTCTTGTGATTCCGATGCTGAACCCACTGATTTACACCCTGAGGAACAAGGATGTGAAAGAGTCTCTACAAAAACTGAAAAACAAAATAAGGTTCTAAAATTTGCATTACATTTATATATATGCTTATTTGTAGTCGCTGTCCTTTCTGTAAAAGTATTCTGATGTCATGCAAAAAATCTGTGCTTTATAGTTGAATTAGTAAAATATTCATTTCTATAGACACCTAAATCCAATAAATGTAGCAGATCTTCAAATACATCATGATTTATTATATGCCTGATATTAATATGTGATGGTGATCACTGATCATTCAAATTGGTCATTGTAATTATTTTTTTATTAGTTTCAATTGCATTGTTTATTGAATGTTAACATGTCACCTTTGCATATTCATAGGTATCATGTTTCCAAGCAAATCCAAGAATTTACTTTGAAATATATTTGTCTAAATTCATTAGGCAAGAGAAAAAGCTTTGGTGGATGGAAATAGAATTTCCAGAACTCAAATGGTGCACATTGTAAAGATGGATACATTAAATGCAGAGGTTTGACAATCTGATGGGTATTGAGGTAACTAGTCCATAGCATTGTGAACATTGTAAGTACTGTGTGATTTGGTTGTACAAAGCAATGTAAGAGCTTCTTTCATCAGTGAGGCTCTCAGGGAAATGTCCCTGCTCTGTGCAGAAACACCATGTGATTTTATTTTATTTTATTTATTTTATTGTTTTGTTTTATTTTGAGACAGGGTCTCACTATGCAGCCCTGACCATTCTCAAACTCACTATATAGACCAGGCAGATCTCAAACTCACAGATATCTATCTGACTCTGCCTCTTGACTGCTGGAATTAAAAGCTACTGCTAACATGTTGGGCAACATGAGATTTTCCAAAAGCAGACTTTTTCAGACCTAGGCATCAATGCTGTTTGCTGTGCTGGCCATTGATGTGGTTTTTAGGTCTTGAAGTTGGGATTGGACCATCTACTGATGTTCTCTCTTACCAGATATGAGAGCTAGCCTTCAGGAGAGGTGGCTTCCAGGGAGGTTCCAGCA